GAGAGAGAGAGAGAGAGAGAGAGAGAGAGAGAGAGAGAGAGAGAGAGAGAGAGAGAGCACGCACGCGAACGAGCGAGAGAGAAAAAGAAAGAAAACGAAAGAGAGAGGAATGGAACAGTAAAAACCCACCACAGCCACATCTTCAATCACTCTAACAGAGAACGCAAATCAAGCCACTCAGCGCCGAGAAAGCCTACACTGTATACACACACACACGCGCGCGCGCTCTCTCGCACGCGAGGTTAGCCCATTGGAGGAACATATCAGTGCAATACTCGGCATGCAGCTTCGAGTGAGTGGGGTGGGGGGATTGTGTATAGTAACTGATCTATTCGTCAAGCTACCCCGCAGATGGGGGCAAAGCTAACAAATTTCCCAAAATACACTGCTGCGCATACTTCCGTCCAACTCCCGTCAGGCGATATAAAACTTGCGCATATGCGTGTACCTGTGCACGCGTGTGTGCGTGTGCCTGCATGCGTGCGTGCGTACGTGCGTGCGTGCGTGCGTGCATGCTTACGAGTATTTGTGTTGGTGGTTTGGTGCGCGTGCGTCCGTGCGTGCGTGCGCGTTAACAAGTATTTGTTTGGGGCGTTTTGGTGTGGGTGCGTTCGTGCGTGCGTGCGTGCGTGAATGCGCGCGGTGGCGTGGCGTGGCCGCGTGGCCGTCGCCTTGCCGTGCCATTCCCACTCATCGCGTCGCATCTCCGCCACATCCACCGCCGCGCAACTACAGCAACATCAAATCTCTTCCTCTTTTAATGACTTCATCTATGATTCCAATCGAACATCGACGGCAAGGCGCTTGGTGTCCCGCCGTCACGTGCGTCGGCCTGACACCGAGACGACGCGAGACGGCGAGAGCGAGAGAGAGAGAGAGAGAGACGACAAGAGCAGAGCAGAGGACGACGACAAGACGAGAGAGAGAGAGCTGAGAGACGACGAGCAGCAAGAGAGGAGAAGAGAGAGAGCAGAGAGAGAGAGAAGCGAGACGACGAGACGAGAGACACGAGAGAGAGAGAGGAAAGAGAGCAGAGAGAGAGACGAGACGAAGGAGAGACACGAGATGTTAGAGGAAGAGAGAGAGAGAGCGAGAGAAAAGCAGAGAGAGAGAGAGAAAGCAGATGACGACCGAGAGAGAGAGAGCCCGAGAGCAGACGGAGAGAGAGGGAGAGAGAGAGACCGAGAGAGAGACGAGCAAACCGAGATAGAGGATGAACCGCAGAGAGAGAGCAAGAGAGAGAGAGAGAGAGAGAAAGAAAGAGAGAAGCGAAAAGGTGAGAAGATGAGAAGGCAAAAGATAGGGCCAGCATAGTAAACAGAACATGAGAGAAAGAGAGAGAACCGTATGAAGCGGCGAGAGAGCAGAGCACACACAGAAAGCAGTAGAGAGAGGGACGAGAGAGAGAGAGAGACAATAGAAGAGAGAGAGAATAGAGACAGAGAGAGAGAAAAGAGAGAGAAGGTGAGAAAGGCGAGAGACATATCCAACAGAGAAAAGAGTGAAAAAGAGAGAGAGAGCAGAGAGAGATAAGAGGAGAAACCTACGAGACAGGAGGAGAGAAAGAGAGAGAAGGTGAGAAAGCGACAGAGACATCATCGCCAACCAGAGAGAACACGCACGTGAACAAAGAGAGAGAGAGAGAGAGAGAGAGAAAGAGACGAAAGAGAGACAGACAGAGCGCCAAAGCAGAAATAATATGGCGGGCCGCTGCCTGACGCTTCCTCGGTAATTTTCTCGTATTTTCATACGACGAATTTGGAATGCGTCTACCGTATATGGAAATATACCGTATAATTATGGGGAACTGTCGCCACAGTGAATCATCACAGCGTGCACAATATTGTCATCAGTGCAGCTCTTGTCGTCGTCACCTCGACCATCGCCATCGTCATCGTCCGTCATCGCTGTCGCCGCCGACGTAGCCACTGTCGCCGTTGCCTCGAACGAATTCCAATTTTCTGCTCGTTAGCGTTGACACGTAGGTGTACGAGAAAAAGTCGAAAAAAAATATCTCTAATTACGTTTGAAGTCAAACTCCGCCGTTCACGGGTAGAATAAGAAGAAGTGCAGCGCGTGAGGCCGGCCGACTTGTGGCATTTACTATGCATCGACTATCGTCAGGCCCGAGCAATTCTTATCGCATGCGTGGTTACACGCATATATATATATATATATGTATATATATATATATATATATATATATATATAT